AACTACGCAATATACAGTTGACTTTGGTAGGTATGTACCTATTCAATACATGCTCATAAAGTGATGGCATCACTCTGAGTCATACCACGATCTACTCATTTTAGTATCTCATGTTTTATAATAGGTGTAGTGTGCTTTAGTTTGTTTACAAACAAAAATTGTGTTCTTAAAAAACCGTCCTCAATTGTAAACCAGTTGTTTTGATTTAAAAACTAAACTACTGAACCGATTTTGATAAAAATTTTATCGAGACCCAATCTGTAAGTATATTTTATCAGATAAAAAAAGAATTTTTCAAATCGGTTTACAGCTGACGGAGGTATCAGGTAACAAACATAAGAAAAATAGGTACAACCGAATTTTAAACCTTTTTGAAGTCGGTGAAAATCAATTGGATGCCTAATGTTCAGCATTATTGAAATAATAATAATATTTTTTTTTATTTAAATTAAGCACATTTTTTTTTATTTTAGACGCCCATATATAGGACAAATGATCTATCGTATACATTATATACGTTACAGTATTGATATGTTTTCGCCACTGTGTGTATGGGACAAAGCGAGACAGCAAAACCAGCGACTTCTTCTTTCTCATACACCTGGTAATGAGAATAGTGTACTACTTGTCTAGGAGGGCTAGTTCCTGTAACAGCGAAAGCTGTTTGTCAGTGATCACGTAGCTAGAGCTTGTTTTTATTTAATAACATAACTTAATATCTGATAAGAAGATTTAATTCGCAAGTCAACTCATCACCAGTCAAATGCGAGAAATATTTTAATAAATTTGGAGATTCTTCAGAAAAAAGAGGTGAGGTAGTTAATTTATAATAATAAGAAATCAATAGAGTTAGTAAAAATAAAATAACAAGGCTCTTTGGATTTTACTAAGATTTGAAATAATAACATAATATTAATATCCATCTAGAAAAGGGTTAGCCAGTAAAAAACTATATATCTACAGGTATTTAGCGCAGCTTTACTTGTGCGAAAGTCGTTGTTTTTTCTCTTGGAATTTTTGGGAAATCCTTTCTTATTAGATACCTATCAAATTCTCAGTTTCATATTTCAAACCCCATCAGTTAAGGCTGTGCATTGATAGATCAGATAGTCTGTCAGCCAGAACTATTTATATTAGTATAGATACTATACCTATGCAACTACCCACAATAAACTGTGCTAAATTTTTAATTATACTTACATTATGACTATATGACCCTATACATTATATGTTTATAAATAATGTAAGCTATACCGTCGTAATTCATTCTAATTTCCCTAGAGACTAATGATATCCTTAAGAGTTATTTCTGCTACAGACATAGTAAATAGGTATCTTGTGTTGTATATTCATTTGAAATTTATATGTAAAATTTATGCAAAAATCCAATTTTTTTATGTAAACAATTTTTAACTGTACATTAAATATACTCGTATGCTGTTATAAATTAACCAGAATCAATAATATTTTATTCAAATTATGTACCATAATTCGAATGAAATATTATTGATTCTCATTCACAGAGATTATGATAAATCAAAATTAAACCTTAACTAATTAAATTTTGAGTTTAGTTTGAACCAGTTACACATAGACCTTAATTAACAATTAAAGTCTATGTGTAACTGGTTCTCTCACTCACTCACCAGTATTCGGGTATTAAGATAAAATCAAGATTGTCAATGACAATTCCATTCATTCATAGGCTAAAAACTATAGCAATATACGATAATAATAATCTCACTTTCCCTAATCGAATTGTTCAACATCGAAAAATTCCATCTCCTAGTAAATTTTCTTTGCATCGTTAACATTCATATATTTAAAATACGAAACAGTAGAGAAAGAATTATTTTAGAGATTTTGTTAATATTTTATGAATAACAAAAATCATAATTCTGTGTGCCTTAGCACAAAATATAGGCAATGCAAAAACTTTGCTGAACTGCCTGCTAAATGACTTCGTCATAGCGCTATAGTAGGCTCGACTGCCGCTCATAAAATATGAACGAACCGCCTGAAAGAACTTTGCAATCCTTTTTCTTGTTTCAGAAAGCAGTAATAGATTTATTTCGTTATTTTAACCTATTATATTATATCTATCGACCGTTATGATGTAATAAAATGCCCATTCTGTGCTTTTGTATTTCTCTCACGAACAGTGAACCCAAAACCTGTATTCTTTGTGAAATACCCCTGTCCATAAAACTAGTTATGATAAGTCAAAGGATATTGACTTGCTAAAGCAGATCTACACAATATTTTGTTCAATAGCTACCTCATTTCAGAAAGTCACCATCATATTATGTTTACTTACGAAGAAATTAGTTTTTTATTATTTATTTAATGTCTGTAAAAATAACGTTATTAAGTATAATTTATTCTGAAAATTATATAAAAAAAAATCAATTTTAACCACTTATTCTCTTTTCTGACCACATCCTTTAATATAGGCAACTCCGAAAACGAATATATCTTGAACTAGCTACATCCCATCCTCGTCAATAAGGGTAACTAGTACCCTATGTATTATTCCAGACTTAGTACTATTATTATTATTTGGTACTAAATATGATTAAATCTGTTGAAACATTTATGCCATTTGGATATATTAATATCATTAAATATCCAAATCCAAAAAAAATACCTTTACACAGTTTCACAATATTAAGAAAATTTATATAAAAAATCTAGATAAACTATCTATAATATATATAAAAATCTATTTCGATCACCAAATTTTTTCAAATTGATGATTTTTCTATGCTTAAATTCATTCCGATGTAAGCCGTTTAGAGATAATTTTTAAAACACAAAATTCATCAACTAAGAAGTTGCAAAAAGAGCTCGAAAAACGGAGTTCACGATTTTTCATGTGGAAAATAAAATTTTCTCCATTCTAAGACAATTTTTATCTAATTTTTTTATTTTTTGTAATCTTAAATTGTGATAACAATATGACAAACATAAATATTAGAGTTTCTAATTTCAAAATTAAAGACAAATTTTAAATCTATTCAGACAGGTAAACCCTGGGGAATAAATTGACAAAACTACACTACAGTATAAACTTTGTTTCTATAACTCGAATAGTTTCTGTATAACGATAATGAACTAGCCAGGACTTTTCGTAATTTCATTTAACAAATTAATAAAAAAATTATATTGCGAAATCTCCATATGAGAGTTTTCAAAGTAGCTGAATCCAAACGAAGCCTCTTGTAGGGGTTGGTGACAGAGTGAAGCTACCAAAGGCTTCTGCCTTCACTTACATTTCCTTCATTTAATTTTATATAAATGATTAATGTATAAGTAAGTATACGCTGATTTCGGAGACTCAATTACACTAGCATACGATCTATCTGACAAGGACAAACCAGTTTCTGTTTCCTGTTAACAATTAATATGATATTCCTTCTACATATTCAAACCTACCAATTATAATGGCGGAGAGGAGAAGGTGTTATTAGTAATACAAACTACCAGTCCTCTCGCAATATACTCTGTCAGGTCGAGTTCCATGCGGTCTTCCTGGAAGCCATCGTGCTGAATTCCAGGCATATTCATCATGATGGGCTAACTTACCTGCCTGTGCATTCTCACCTATCATCTCTCACTGATCCCTGCCAGCGTATATTGTTAGCGCGGGCAAGGGTATCATTTCATTATCATCCATTAAAAAAATATATGTATACACGTATGATGTCGAAAAATATGTAAATTCAAAATGGCTAAATATTCTTATATTTTTCTTAACGTCTTAACGAGTAAAGTAATTTTCTTGTTACTGTTTGAAATTTACATTTTTCTACTTTACATTTGGATTCAACCACCTCGAAAACCCTTTGAGAACAATTTGCATTTTGTGAGTTTAAAATGGAATAAGTATTTATGTATATATTTATTTACCAGGCGCCATTTTGAAATTTCGCATTTTCTAAAACAATATTTCGATTCAGCGATCATTTAAATTCGTATAAATGGGAAATATAAAGAACAATAGAAGGGGGATAAATATAATGTTTTTAATAATTTTCTCTACAAAATGAGTCCAAAATATTTAGATGTATTATTAACAAAAGTAGCAATACAGTATTATTAAGTAGTAACTAGGTAGGTAGTAGCAATACATATTCATTATTACATTTTGTATGTCCAAATAAGTAAAACCTGTTTTTCCAATTTAACATAACTGAGATAATGACTAAAAACTTAGTAATTATTTGCTTAGTAGATGCTACCTAACTTTAATGTTACTAAAGTTATATTATTAACTTATTAAGTAAGACTGTTTTAATCTACAAATGAATTGATATGATAAACATTACGTAGACATTACAATAGGTAAGATATTATATCTTCAATTCTTCATAGTAGACAAGTATTCTTCATCCCACGTTGGTAATAAATACAACCATTTTATTGGCAAAGTGTAGGCCGCAATAGAAAGGTTCCCATCATTCCAAAAAGGCCGAATTACTTTCACTGTAACGTAGTAGATAATCAATAATGGGAACATTTTATATAATAAAGCACCTTTATTTGCTTAACATTTATTTTTACATAATAAGTGTATTATTATTCATATATAATCATTGTAAAAATAAAAAAAAAAAACATAAATAATATAAACATTTCCATAATTTTAATAAGTTGTGATTCAACTTACTAAAATTCTGAAAAATTTATACCCAAGTATCTATTGCAAATGTTTATTACAATGATTATGACTTCAAATTCCATAAAGTTATTATAAATCAATACCGTTAATACAATAACTACTAACTAATGGATAGCTAATCATGTTGAAACAGTTATTTTTGCTGTTTTATCTAAATATATTTTTATAAATAAATAGGTATTTAATATCAACTACCCACAGTTCAATAAAAAGCAATATGAGATAATCTACAGGCTCTACAAATAACATAATTTTTATTACAAAAGCAATAATTCGCTTAAATTAAAATTATCTTTTAAATAACAGACAATCCACTTACCCGTGTCACGAGTTCATTAGAGGAGTTGTAGCATAAGTCAAACGACAGGAATCACAGTAAGCAGTCAACACAGTGCATATTCCCAAGGTAAACAAAGATTACGTAAACGCAATCCCACGCACGCACGTCACCCGATCGATTTTCAAACTTTCGAATACGCCCACTTACATTTACAAGAACATCTAGAATAGATCCGTTCGCAAAGCTCTGCAACACCGCATCCAAACACTACAAACTACCAATGGTCTTCTATGCCCTTGAAGTCGTACAGGTTATGTTATCGATAAAGCACAACACGCGCACTGACAGTTCGGACAAACAATCACAGGTCAAGTTCGGAGCCGGTTTTATGAAATAAGATGAAAAGGCGTATAATCGAATTACAGTTTATAAGTTTACAATGTATAATCGAGCGTTGTATCGCGAAAGATGCGATGTTTGTTGCAAGGTTAGCGAACAGTCGTCGTAAGGTCTAAAACGGAACGACACTCGTACCTCCGTAGTCAGACGCTGACTGAGTGAGCCGCAAGCAAGGGCGCCTGCCGCCGGCCGAATGGCTAGAATGAGGCCCCGCACCTCCGCCACCGCCGCCGCGCTGCCTACCACCCGTGTGCGCGCGCTTACTCTTGCATATTGTGGTATCCAAAATATTTACATTCTTGCAAAATGCGAGTTATTTCGCTATAAAATAAAACATAGAAAATTTTTAATATTCACTAAATTTTTTCCATGACTTCAATTAATACCTTGTCATTTCACTTGTGATTAACTTACAAATATCTAAGGGCTATCTATTCGTATTCGAACAATACTCATAAAATATCGACTTTTTTAAAATTGCGCCGATAATGTTACAAAGGTCAAACCAAATTAATAAAATTATGAACTTAGATAAATATGTACTAAGTCAGTCATTAAATTATTACACAACAGATACAAATAGATGCTATATATTCAATTAAATATTTATATCAAAAGCGAGTCAGTTTCGCCTACACTGGCATGATTACGATTCTGTCCAGACCAAGATACTTGACAAGCTGGCTCTTTTGAGCTTTGCTCTTAAAGGATAAATTCTCCAATTAAATATTGTCCTTTATACCCAACAACTATAGATATGCTCACATTCAATGACTTGAACATTTATATTTATTATCTACGGTGAAAGGTATTTTATGGTTTACTTTTTTACTTGGAAATTGGTAAGGAAGATGGTATCTATGAAACTGATTCGACTTATCGTAATAGCGCACGCACACCTTCTGTATTTAATAGATTATGTATGTTTATTTTTTAAACAGATTTTTCGCAAGGTCTTAGCACCCAATCTGTGGGCGCTCTCTGTCAGGGGCAGGTGATTGAGTCTTTATCGCAGCGCACCGAAACCCGAGGGTGCAACCTGCGTCTGTGTCACTGTCCCGTCCCCATTCATTTATCATAAAGAAAGCCTTCGAGGGTTAGGTGAAGTACACCCACTATATCGAAAGAAATGGGGGAAAAGTTAAGTGACTACTTGAATATACATTTGGGTATTTGTGTCGAACAAAACGACAATGATTCTAAACTCAACAGTACAAAAAGAACAAAGCATGTTTTGTAAAAATAATAAAATAGGTTCACGTTATTGTTTTGTTTCCTTTTTGTGCCGACGAATAAGGCTATGGTTAGCAAGAGGGAGGCAGGTAGCGGTATTCAAGAAGAGTAGCCTACTAACCCACGAGTTCCAAGAAAGCCGCTAGCCATCGCGGCCGCTCTTCGAACGTTTAAGTTAATAAACGTGGAAATAATATCCAACGTCTATCTTATTGGACACGCAACGTTTATCTTTAATACACGAATTCATGGTATTTACGAATACTGTACGATTATTCTCAATGTCATATGCAAAATACTTACAAATAAGTTACTTTATTGTAATGCTAAACGCTCGTAGAAAATTGCTAAATTATATGATAGTATAACATTCGAGTATCTATTTGATGTCCGCTGTACAATAACCAAAGTTCTTCTTGTTTTTAGAATATAACTGCACACATTCATATTTAGCCATTTATATGTTTTAAGCACTGTGTAAAGAGCTTTATTGTGAAGTATAAATTACTACAATGATGTTCCTCATACTGTTTTAATTTAAAAAAATATTTGAACTCCTCAAAAATCAGAGATAATTGTAACGAACTCACCATTCTAGGACGAGGTGTTTTTTAGATAAGTTTGATTGAAAGTATTGAATTTATAATTCGCCTACAAGCATTTTTTTACTCCGCAAAGAGAAATGATCTCTTTAATAGGTGTATTACCATAAATATGTTAAATTATACGCATAAATCATTTTTGTAGTTAAAACAACAAGTCATATTCATCTTAGTATTAAATAACCATAAACATGATGGGCATAAATAGCCAGCGTAAACTAATTGGTTAAATAAAAATTGTTCACAGCTTTTTATTATTTTTATTACGTATATGATAAACTTAACTTTAAAAAAATCATTATGAAATAACAATGAAGGTTGAGAATTGACTACGTAACGCGTAAAAAAAAGAACGCATTGAAAACCTCCTACTTATAAAAGTCTCTAAGTTACTCATGCTACAGATAAATAATATGAATTTCTAACTATATGATTAAACCAGCTGACTAGCTAGTCATGTGATATCATACTAGAATTCTTAAAAACTGCAAGTAAACCTAACAACATTCTTCTATCCAATTAACTTCTAGATGTCTATAGTTGTTAATAAAAGAACTCCTAAGAAGAGTACGGTGCCCATGACTATTACATGCTATAGAATTATCATATTGTCTAAAAATGTGTTACGTAAAGTATTTTCTATGAACTCAAAGTACGGCTTGAGAAATACATAATCAGCATATCTAATAAGCGCTAATCATTAATTATTCTTATGTGCTAACATTAGAGTCCAACCACGCGTAGTTAGATAAATCATTTTTCTCCATTTAATATATAACTGTATGTTTGAATGAAAAAAAAATTATAAACATATTAAAAATAACAGCTATCCGCAACTACAAAAACAATATAATGTAACTAGCATTTTACGTAGACTTTTAAATAAATGAACGTATGTGTACCTATTTTTTACTGCTTTCTATCTCTCTCTAAATTATATAAGGTACATTTATACGTATAATTTAAAAATTTTCTCCAATCAATTTTTTTAGATGATTAGCATAAAATTTGTCATCGTTCACAGTAATAGATGTTGTACTCGTAATTACAAACTATCACAGAGTTTTACTAAAATTGTTTTCGAATTTTTTTTTTATACAACATAGATTGGCACACAAGCTGACGGCCCACCTGATGGAAAGTGATAACCGTCGCCTATAGACATGAGCAGTACCATGAAGATAACAGAGTATACTGTTTCGCCCATGATACCCCTCATGCGTTGCCATTCCTGAGGACTCAGATGTTATTCCTCTGTACCCAGCAAATTCACGCCATATCCCACCCTTCAAACCAAAACACAGCCATGCAAATACAACTGCTTCACGGTTGAAATACGAATGGGACAGAAGTACCATTGGGAATTGGAATAATGACGCAATATTCCATGTATTAAAATGCATTATTAATTGTGTATATGTGTAGATATATTTTCTGATATATAGTCATTTATTAGTGTAATCATTATTAGTTATTATTTTGAAATAGAGTTAAATTCTGCGTTCATACTTGAATAACTGTTGGTTTATCATATTAATACATATATAGCTAGTAAAATTCAATGGCAGGTACATACTTCCATAAGTGTTGGTAAATCTGATGTTTTCAGAATAAAGAGTCCACCACACCTATGTGTTTTAACGGTAAATACGTTAGGAATAAGGTAGTTCTAAATTTGCAATATCAATTTATAGTTATATTTTAGTAGTATATTCTGTACAAAAAGTAAATTCTTTTATATTGTTTTAATAATGTCACGATAAATATACGCATTTCTACGCAACAACCCGCGATTTTGTTCTTACTCACAAATTGTATTCAGCCGATGAACCTCGATCAAGTAACAGACATCCAAATATTCTGAAAAAACTTTCACATTTGTTGAACATTAATATGGAGAGTCTATCATTTTTGAAGTGAGAAGAATAAAATTTACTATTGAAGCTTTTTAGTAAAAATAATTATTTTTTTATAAATTCAACCCCAAACGTGAGAAATGGGGTAGAAACATTAGTATAAAATAGGTTTGAAAGTTTATATGGGGATTCTTTTATTTTTAGGTAACAATGAAATTTAATATTAAAGCTTCACAGCAAAAATAAATACATACGTTTTTCGACGTTTTTGGAAATTGGACCCCAAATGGGATAAATTGAGTAGAAACATTAATATAAAAATGAAAAAAATTGTCTGATATGCTTGAAATTTACTAATTATGTCTCTTTACTAAATTCATAAACATGTGTTTTAAAGTTTTTACTAGTTTCACCTCTCAGACCATAAAAGGGTAGCCAATTTTTTTTAAAGGTTAGCACGTATATGGATATTGTCGCTAAAAAATTTGATAATCATACTTCTAGGTGCAAATAATTAAATTCAAAATACAAAATGTACATTTTTACGGATTTCTTACATGTGTAAAAAATACTTTTTCTTTAAATAAACTTAACTACTGTAATGAAGCTTGTATAAATAAAACGCACTTCTTTAGCAGATTAACGAAGATGAAACTCTGTATAAATATATAAAAATGTGCAAAGTAAATTAAAAACGCTATAATAGATATGTATATTTTATTTTTTGCAACCAGAATAAAATCATGCTTTTTGCTTTGAAAATCACAGATTTCCATACAACTATTTATCAATTATATAAAAAATGAGTATGTCACTACATTACTACTAAATTAAGTACTAGCTTTGATTTTTAAAAAACTATTTAGTGATTGTAAACACTCCTCCACACTAAACACACTTTTGTTAAGTTACAAAAAAAAATGATAATTTTATAGACTTTTCTATACAGGAGATTTTTAATTTAAACAAATTAGGCTCTATTAAACCCAATTTAGATGAAAATAATAATTATATACATTGGTATTACGCTGATATAACAATAAGGCATTGCGATAATAGATATCGACAATTTATGGCGCCGGTGTGGTAGAGGCTTAAGGGTTACGTCGCAACTCATCTGCGGGCCATTTCCTGTTCAGACGGTGCGCGTCGAACCCCTCCTCTCTATTGCATCTGTATATTGACAGATAAACTTATACATTCTAAATATTTACAGTTATATATCATTATTATGTAGATATTCAAATATCTACAAATAAATTACAATTTCTCGCACAAATCCGGTGGGAGTTTTCGAGTATTCTTTCCCTAATCAGTAATTAGTAATGTTATAGCTAACTATAACGAACTCCTGAGAAAATTCGTAATTCCAGACGTAACATTTACGGCTGGACATTGAAGTGTATCAATTATAGGGTTGACAAAAAAGGAAGTGACATAAACTAACAAACGTCCTCTTGTTACATTAACTATCAAATCTTTTTATTTTCTAATATTGATATTTAAAATCATCTTTATGCAAATAGATTTGTTTTAAATCGCATCTATTATTCGCTTTCTCTGTATAATTTCATGCAGACGTAAAGGATTCTTATTACGGACCATGGCGCCTAACTATAAATAGTGCTGTATACATAAAGTACAGACTGTTTACATGCGCTCTACAGGAATAAGTTGTTTCTAAACTGTTGTTGCATTGTAAGCGCACACGGTTCTCATTCATCTTAAACCTTTTCAGCTGCACGGTTTAATTCTCGTTCAACTGTAATGCAACCGGCAGGCTGCACCGCTCTGAAAACATAAAAACATTCATTTGCATTGGTACACTGCTCTTGCGCGGCATTTTTCCAATGTTATCATGCCTCGTAATAAGAGAACACTGAGCTGTTTTGACAGCTCTTTAAAATTTATAATCACGTGCATTAAAAATGTAAAGAACCCAATGGTTTGATAACACATTACATTGTTATTATATTCGTAAACAATCGTCATTTACTATTTATTTACTGAATTGCTATTTATTTATTATATAAATTTGTTATTGTTGTTTTCAACTAAAATTAATTATTTTAGTAGGAGTAGCATAAGGTGGCTTCTAGGTTCTAACATAAGCGAAATATAAAACAAGTAATGCTTAATCTATGCTAAATCTAAGATCTAAGAAGGACACCATCATTATCCCACATAATAATAATTGTTACTTTAAACTGTCTTTCTATTAATTTTCATTTTAATTGATTTAATAATTTTAATGTTTATAACAGATTAAAACGGAGCAGACAAATTGTTATTCGTAATTTTAATATGTATATAGTAAATATTTAATAATGTATTAAATATTTACTATATACATATTGTTGATTTTATATTGAAAGAGTTTCTAATCTAGAGAAAATACTATATACTATAAGTGTGGTGTTTATTTCTACGATGCCTGATAAACCCAAAAGATTCATCTATGTTTATTCTTTTGATATATACGTATTAAACCCAAAACCATAAACTCCAAACTTCTCCAAATTGTTTCATAAGGACTCTTACATTTATGTTCCTATATTGTTTATACGGACAGAAATAATGCAAGTATTAAATTGCTAGTTCGTAACTATATAGAAATTCCTAGTCTGGCCTCGTATAGGCTAGTTAGCAATACTTGGTCATGTAAGTTCGGCACATCATAAATCACATAAGTTCTAAGTTTAGCCATATAATGTAATAAATTATCTTAGGACGACAGTCCGATACCAAAGCCAATGCGCCTGTCTGCTGGTGACATGTCCTGTTGCTTGTCCTACTACTTACGAACGTTAAGCACCCTCATGTAAGTTCCCTCCCGGGGCAAGGTAACATTAACAGTAATAACAACTTATCTTCATCGGCCGTTTCATTTCCGCGTCCGACTTATCGTTCCTTTCAGGATTGGAACCCTCGCCTGATTTACTCATATCATAAGACACATAACACACATATACACCCATACAAATGACCGAATTATTACGTTATTCGGTATCATGCCAAGTATATTTCTCCGAATGTGTTTACAATGTGTCACACTTACTGTGAAATCTTTATCGCGGAGCTAATTGATCTTCAAGAGATTCTCAAATTAATCGCTTAATGCTCGTATATTTTTCTTGGCAAACAAAAGAATTTTGTTTAATAACATATGATAGTTAATTATTCTGAAAATCAATATTATTGGATGAGAAAATACCTACATTATTCATAAATACCAAAAGGAATAAATTTTACAAATATAATGAGTAGGCATAACAACGTCACAATAATTTATGATTGTGTTCCACAAAAACCGGCTTCAATCTGTGAAAAATCAATTATTTTGATTAAAACGATTATTTTGATTTAAAAACTAAGTTACTAAACTGATTTTGATAAAACTTCTATGAGACTTACCAGAAAGTATATCCATTTAGATAAAACAGATTTCTCCAAATCGGTTTATAAGTGACGGAGTTATGAGATAACAAATATAAAAAAAAATACACCCGAATTGAGACTCTTCTCCTTTTTTTTGAAATCGGTTGAAAAGTTGACCGTAAAATTAAGTTTATTGTGGTTTATGTCTGCCATATTGCAGCCTATATCACTCCCACATAATCAACACGAATCAAGTCACAACCCATTTACAAAATTACATCAAGCTGTTTATTATTTACATTGTGCCAAAGATCTACATCTACATACACACTTACATATCCGTAATATACCTTCATACATCTGAAAAACATAGCCTCCTTTCTTCGGCAGTCGGATAAATTAAATGAATAGTAGTAGTAACGTAGCAATCGAGCGTAAAAATACTAGCCATGTAATGTAGTTGCTTAGTTACGTTCTACCTTTATATTTATATGGGTTTGGTTAGAAGAAATCGCCTTCGCTAGCCGAGGGTTCCGTAGCCGTGATTTAGTGGCCATTTTTCATGTGTATTGCACGTGGGCCACGAATCGGTCCAGACCTCGTCCCGCACCGCAATCAATTGAATACTTTTTATTACTTTCGCCGCACAAAAAAATATTTTTTTCTTTGGAAATCTATTAAATCACCATCGCAGAGTAAAAAAAATTACTATTTTATTTTGATATGTGCCGAACCTGTGAAATAATTATTATTGAATTTACTTAATATAACAGAAAGCTTTTTCAACTATTATTCATTAAATATTTTACAAATAACGATTTATTATTCTATTTGTTACAAGAAACAATATTTGCTAATACTTATTATAATAAATTCATTTTAGTATTGTAGATAAAGTGAACATTAATGTAACGAATAAGTAGTTGAAAATGTAATGTATATTTTAATAAATAGTTATTTGTTACGTGTATAAGGACACTTTTGACTCTAAAAATTTGTCTGCCTTCCCCAAAGAAGAAAATCTAAGTTAATACTAAATATAAAAATGTGAAAGATATGAAACGTACGATACTGACTATCTGAACATACCTAATTTGTAAAATTTTCCAACTTTTATCACTTGGATTGTTCTGTTTATTAGAGTTGGTGTGCAATTGAAATTATGTACTACTATCGTTATATAATAATGTAGACACATTACACACTAAAAATAAATGTTTTTTTAGAAGCCTCTTTTGAAAGCATATTGGAATGATGAACAAGCAAGCGACCCACTTGATAAAAAGCGGCAATCTTCGATGAAAGAGAAAAATAGCTAAAGGCTTCATGGATTCCTGTTGCATACCCTTTCCTGAAAACTAGAGTGGTTTTATAAATTTTCAAGTGCAAATAAAAGATTTATTGTTATTATATAGTTAGATCAATTGTTGTTTAGTTTAAAAATAACTATTTATATAATTATAATTTGATAAAGCTATTACATTACGTTTGATATATTATAAGCCAAGCTGTCACAAAACCAGAAGTATAGAAACACCAAAATCAATCTTAAAGACATAAGAGATGTAATTTAAATTCATGGACTATCAGAAGGAAAGTTCGAGTCGATATACACAATGGAATACGGTTAGGGGTTCTAAATTACTCCAAGGGAAATGTTTTGTAAAGTTGAGGTTAAGCCAAAATTGTTCGGCGTGGACCGATGTAATTGTTAGAAATAAGTAACTAATTTTTAGTCGAATATAGAAACTGTGATGTACTTTGCTCTTAGCAAATAATTTCATTTTGTTGCAATTTTAATAAACTATTATTAATGATATGTGTAATAAAATACTTCAATAATGTTTCAATCATAATTTCAATAGAACTTAATACAAAGGTTTGTTGAATTTATCACAAAAAACTTTCCTAAATGACTTTCTAAACAAATCGGAACATTCTATCAATTAACCATTTTTTTATTTTTTCTACTACCTATAGGACATCAGGAGACATTGGTGTATTTAAAATTATTTTCCATGGAGAGGAGGCTGAGCCTTTAAAAAAAGAAAATTATGTACTCTCAGACATATCCTCCACATAGTTAAAAACTCTAGAGTGGCCATCAGGCAATTCTAGGATGGGCATAATTGCCCCCTCATCCCTGCTTTATAGTCGAGTCAATTATTCGTTTGTTTACATTTTCTTTAAATTCCTTTGAAACAGACTATAGCTCAATTACACAAATCAGAACGTATATATTCATTCAGAAGATAAACACATATTTAAACAACGAAAATAATACATTTATTATAAGTAGTTATATTTTTATCATTCAATGCTGAAAACCCTAAAATGGAATCCGACCTGAATAATGAACAGGGAACGGGAGCTCCGGAAAAAAGCACAAGTGAAATTCATTTGGCAGGGAGGTGGAAAAATCCTGTTTCAGGACGAGCCCGGGTCGAGAAGGTTCAGTTAATGGCGGGTCCAAATGCCAATTATATCAATTAAATACTTTACGGCCACAGCCCTGCTTGCCAGTTTTTGTTTCGAATGTTTTATGTACTTACCCACAATTATTTATTACACAAGTAGATAAATACATCTATTACATACTGTATACAGAAAAATAGAGCTTTACATAATCACGAAACGAAATTATTCCGTTAACATCTTAAACACAATAAAAAGAAGTTAAGTCGATAAAATGACGGACATTATGAAGGGTCGAGTATTTGATTACGGAAAGATTCGTGGGCAGCGCGCGTTCTCATCGGTGCCAATTTAGCCTTTTTCTCTTGTTACCTTTTTGTATTTCGCACCGCTATATTGAAATTGTATAAGTATGTAGGTTCCTATTAGAAAATTATTTTATACTTTTATTGTAGTTAAAATAAAAATCCGCGAATTTTTAATTTTTTTTAGTAAGTTTGTTCCATTATGGAACAGGCTAAGGTCGGAGACCATGCTGCCTAGTCTTCAGTATGATTATTTGTCTGGAATGCGAATTTTTAATTCAATTTGTCAAGAACGTCTACATTGTTTAAAATTAATAAATATGTATTATCAAAACTAATAAACAATAAAGATCATAATACAATTGAAATAATAATAAGAAAAATTAATAAATTAAAATAAATGTACAATTTAAAAGTAAAAAAAATAACTTATCTATTACACTTTCCGTCAATAATAAATTATTCAACGATGAAAACATACTGTCGATATATTATATTGGTTCCATACACAACATTTAATCTTGCTACAGTTGATTCGCTGTTTCTATCTAATTCACCTTTCAGTTACAATAAAAATAACATACCTAATTTGCCCTTATGTTAAAGTAATTTTAATTCAATTTAACTCCAATACGCCAACAATCAGTAGGTACTGATTTTAGTCAAATAAAAGTGTGTATTTTTTACTTGGACATAAGAAGGGACCTTTCCTAATAAAACTTTCTTGTAAATTTATAAGGTAAGGCCCTTGTAAACACTTGGAAACGAAATAAAGAAATTATTGTACTCGGAAGTGTTTTGTCGATAATCATCTACCTTATCATAACAAATGCAAGTATATTGTTAAAAGTTTTATAAATACATATTATATTTTAATATAATTGCAACTGGATTAACCTATGTGTATTTTAGTTGAGAAAACTCGACTGGTTAAAATACTTCAAAAGGGTGAAGAGGTTTCTTCAGAGTCGGCAACGTGCGCGTAATACCCCCTGGCATTACAACCGTTCATAGGCTACGGTAACCGCTTATTATCAGGCAGGCCGTATGCTTGTTTGCCACCTTAGTAATCTCAAACCTAAGTAATCTTAGTTAATATCTTCCTCTCTCAATCGACTTTTATTATATACGAATATAGGGATGACGATTAATGCTAATGGTATAAAATAAAGAATAAAAAACGAAAATAAAGTTAGGTCAGTTGGCCTATATTGGTGTATTATTATAGACAGAGCTGTTTAAATGTCGGCCTGCTGACAGAGTATAATGCTAGATACAATAGGGAGTCGCATCCCGGTTACTTACAATCCTTCCCTGCAAATCAATCACATTAGCTTTTATATTCTTTCAACCAAAATACAACAACATAGGTATCATATCAGTCATTAAATGTCCAGTGCTGAACATAAGCCCCCGTTAGGGGTGTTTGGCCGATAGTTACCAAGCTTGGCAAGCGGATTGACAACTGAAGCTACGCTTTGCCCATCCCTCGATCATTAAGTTCCCTTAATCACCTCTTACTAAACCCACGGGAAAAGAACGGTTGGCCCATTCTATGCCGGGACCACACGGCATAAAAAGGGCCAACCCACAACATAATAATAACGTTTCATAAATAAAATCTTAATATATAAATATATAGTCTGAAAGGTCACGCAATATTCTACTAAGTAGTAATTTATTTACTTAAGTATTTATTTCAAATTGTCTACTTACGTTTCATTAATCCAATTTTATATATTTAATCCATCTAAATAAAGCATTGTGAAAATAGTAATCTCATAACAATGTGAGTAATAAACACATGAGTAATAAATAACATACAAAAAAGAGTGTGAGACTGTACATAGCGATTTGCCAGAGATGAATGTAGAGAATTATACCCCGTATGCCTCGTTACTTGCTGAATACCGCGTAATTGAATCATCTTCGTTCGTGGTTGTTCATGAAATTACTGTTTTCAATGTCTACCACTATAATGCAGTAAAATTACAAAAAAGTTGATTAAAACTAAGCAATATAAAACATGCTGCTACACATTACATTTTAATTTCAAAAATAACTAGAATAACTTTCGTGTATTTTAATCGAGAATACATAACACGTAAAAATTGCAAATAATGTAAATAATAATATTGTATATGTAAATTTACTAACATAAGTTTTAAAAATATTGTTATTAATAAATATATAATGAACCAAAAAAGTCCGGAATAAAAATTATTATTACGAGTATTATTATAATGAAAATAAAACATGTACAAATTTAAAATTAATTAAAATATATACCGAAAAAAGAATGAAAAACAAACACGAAGCAAATAATTGCTCTATGATCTTCTTAGAATCATTATAAATAAAAGAAATCACTAAGTCAACGAAACAACTATCTTTCTCAAATGTCATCCAACATATTTTTTGCTAAACATAGGACTTGAGCAGTACCAGCCGAGATTACACATGAGATTGCAAAAGCAGAACAATGGTCGCATATTCAGTAAGTCGACGACGCAGCACATTTCACTGGGCTTACACCGCGTACGCCCCACCAAAGTAGTGTCCGAAAAGAAAAATGTGAAGCGGGCGGGAGGATAGCATGGGGTCGACGACCCCGACCAACGCCGCCTGCACTGCCTTCGCAGACTTCAGGAATTTATTATTTAATGCGATCTATGATAACCGACAATGTACTTTCATCACTATATAAAAGGAAAGTACGACAATAAACACGACTGTATCTTTGGGAAGGGTGCCCTGAAATAAACAACAAAGCTAACTGTTATTATATTTTTAAGACGCCGGAAATAAAGGGGTTGTGTCGATCCTACTGAACCATAAATCTGTCCCAAGAGACTTCTTGCAGTGGGGCCATCTATTATTCAGATGGACAGCTACGGTACGAGGTGTATGACAAATGATGAATAACAGCTAAGAGCCAGATAAAATAAGTTGCTTATTTGAAGTTAGAAGGGCGTGAGATAAGAAGCTACTAAGTTGATATACGGTTATATATTTACACCTTCTAACAAATACAATATTACAAAATGTTTAACGTAATAAAATAAATCTGTTTAATTTTCTTATATTTCCATAAAAGATAATTTATTTTACTACCAAAACAATTCGTGTTTATCGAGACTTATAGAGGAATAGTTAACCGATTTCATGAAAATAGGCCGTGGGCGAAAGCTAACAACAACAATAACTGAAATTGTTGGGGCTACTCAGTATCCCTGCTGTCATGGGAACCCATTAAATTATAATGTACTCGTATCTACTTATATTTATTGTAGTTAATTAAAACAGTTTTAAAATATGTTCTAAAAGTGTATTCAGTCTCTAAATATTTTTAGTATTATTTATTTTGTATCAAATAAAAAGTATTTAATATTCACTCTTACAGTCAAGATAAATCTAAGTTATCGTCATTTACATCATCACAACATGGTCATTGCACGGTAACACACAAATTGGCACATTGAGTGGTGGTAGTCACTTATCATCAGGTAATCCACTATTGCACAGTTTTCCCTGTGTTATATATAAAAAAAATCCATCAAAGTTACCTGGAAAACAGAGAAACTGAACTGGATATATATATACACTAACATACATACCTGTAAAAT